TAAGTACGATAGTCTAAACACACAATACTTTTAATAGATAATTGTGCTATTTTCAATAAATTATTTTCACTCATACGGATGGGAAATGTAACTTAATACCACACAATTAGCGATATAATTGCGCAAATGCGTTAATTGAAATAATGTAAACGTACTGTAATTCTAAAAAGTTTTATATTACATATAACAAATAATTACATATAATGTTGACTAAATTTTAGAGAAATATAAAACAATATTATCAGTCAATAAATTTAATAGTTTCACATTTATTTATTTAATTTATTTGAACATAATAAACTAAAATATTAAACATAATTATAATATTATTATATATAATTTTTTTTTTCAACAAATAGTATCTTGTTTTTTAACTTCAAATCTATGCTGCATATACATGAATACATATATTCATATATAGATAATTATAATTGCCGACTTATTTTTTAACTATGAATACCGAAAATTTATATTTAAATCTTTCACACATAAGGCTGAGGTTCTCCATTTACAGCTTTTTGATATGACGTCGAAATGATTGAAGAATGTACACTGTTGTGGAATTGCATGTCCTTTGACGCAATAAATAAAGGAGTTACAGCGCTCCATGTGAGGAAATATGTGTTGTCCATAAGTAGGGCAATTAATCAGATCGTTGGTAGCAGTGTTTGTGTTACTATTAGAGACTACATTAGGTTGGTTATTGTTTACTGTGATCTCATTTTGTACTACAGAATTGCTACCAATTCTACAGTTAGCATTTTGTGGTAGATCGCATTTTCCTATGTTTGGATTCCAATGTAAATTGGCACTACATTCTTGTAGTAAAGCCTGTCCATAATAGCACATATAATAACGTTGGCAATTATTGGAACTCCCAACAAAAGTAATCTGATTTTGGTTTTCTAGTTGCGATAGACTGGCACAATAACGAAATGCATCCACTATTTCATTGTTCGGACTATTAACAGGAATATCTGGAACTTCTTCGTTATCCGAACTGTTTAAACACTTCACATTATTTGGCATATCGCATAGTTTACTTTCTGCATTAAATAACATTGTTGGAGGACAAGCTGCTTCAACAGCATCACCATTTTCGACACAAAGATAAAATAATTTACAGTCGTCAGGATGTTGAACGAAGTCTCCGAATGAGTGATTGGCACAAACGCTACTTTGTCGTTTAGTAAATATTTTATTTGAATAGCTAACCAATGAAAACCCATAAGTATTAGTGGACTGCAGAAGGTATACCAGGAATGCACTAAAATAAACTAAAATATACTTTTTCCAATTATTTCCAATTGTATGTATTATTTATAATTAATATAATTAAAAGCAAATAAATCAGTTGGTTTCTGAAATTATCAAAATGTCATATATAAATATATGAAAGCTTTATATATATAGCTATATAAGATTAATAGTTTTGAACATCACTTCATTTTTAATTATAATCTCTTTTAATTTTAATACACTTATTCTAACGATCCTTAAATCTATAGGTCCTTCCTCTGTTGCAATTTGCGGGAGGACTGCTAAGCACCTATTACATGGCATTTCTTACTTTCTAACTCGTTAGTTTGATGAAATAACCTTAAAAATTCCTACTAAAACTCTATTAGTCAATTATGAATTTTCAAAATAATGAACACTTAACTTTAAATTCCGTGGAAAGATGATAAGGAACATAAGGAAACTCATTGGTGTATTAATCATTGACTTTATAGATACACCAACTGCTGTGATGTGTTGAAAAGGATGAAGGAACCGAATATATATGAAATAGTGTACGATATTATATTCTCTTATCTGATTTTTTAATGATTTTAGTTTAATTTGAATACGCCTGGTTTAGGCATATTCAACTCAAAAATGTACTTCGAAGACACAAACAGCTTAACTGCACAGTTAAGTTACTTTGAATCTGCCTATTTTAGCGGATGGTGAATCAAAGATAAATACTTTGAACTGTTCGTCTAAATAATGATCATTATAATTTAATTGATAAATAAATATTACAAAACAGAAACCTTTTTTTAAAATTATATCTGTTCTCGGTGTTCTATTCTATATTAATACCAATTAGTAGTATAAATTTAATTATATAATTTTTTTAAGTTAAAAAACTTATTCAAAAATTTGACTGGCTTAACATAAATCAATCCTTTATAATGCGTTTCATTCAACTTTTTCACACAAGATTTAACTTAATGCCGTTTTTGATTGGTAAATCTGGGGTAACTTTTTCAATTAATATTCACTCCAATTCATCTCCAATTCATTCAAGTTTTTCACACAATATTTAACTTAATGCCGTTTTCGATTGGTAAATCTGGAGTAACTTTTACAATCGTTTTTCACTTTTAGTACAGTTTTTATTTTTCATTCGTAAATCT